TCGAAAACTGCCCCCGTTCTTTCGGGATGACGGGAAGCTAGGCTGGCTCAGTTTAGATCGAATACAATCTCCTTGCATGCAAAGAAATTCAAACTGACTGCCTAGATTGTGACGCCTGCGCTCCACTATTGAGATATTGTCTACTTTGCAAAATTGACAAATCTCTTTTTCTAGGGCGCCATTCAACAGTGACATGTCAACGAGTCGAATCTCAAACGATCGGCCGTGACTTTCACTCTCACTTTCTTCATCTACGTCAGAAGGTAACAATATTTTCCTGCGAGATACAGACATCTCTTGAATGTTTTGAACAGGAGTATCACCTACTATATCGAAGTCTGATTCATCGGACTCTCAGTGTCACGGTAAAACTTTCTTCGCCCACTTCATGGCTGAAACTGGTTTCGGCGGGGAAATCCGTTCTGTACGAACCCAGCATCATCTCTTTCAACATCTTTTTTGACAGGAGTGATCATTCTTTTGACGTTTTTCTTCTTTCTTCCTCGCTTTCTTTTTCTTGGAAATTTTCGCGTGCTTACTATCTCGTCCATAATTAGTGAATGACAACTAAACAAGCCGGTAGGCTGGTTGGCGATCCGCTCCGCTCAAAAACAAGCAATATGTTTTTGACTGTTTTCATGGTGACATAAACGTGAAGATAGTGTCGGTTTATAACTAATACGAAGTTCGCAAACACCATTCAGTCTTTAGAAGTCGCTTAGTTTATTACTAGAACCACAGTCACTCTACTAGTAGAATGACTGTGCTAGGACGTATTCTGCTGTTACATTTATTATTTCCATAGTAATTTTCTAGAATGAATGAAGCGTTTCCTGTAAATGCTGGAAAGCAAAATAACGAAATGGTAAATATTTACCTCAAGTACAGTGTGTTGACCTTCATAATAATATACTTCATAATGCAAAACACTAGTTACTGTGAGTTATTTAAACATACGACTCATAATCGGAAAAGATGACCACAGTCCAGAATTTCAGACGGATATTAAGCAACCTAAGAGCATATCAGAAGAATTTACTTTAAAATATAAAAAAGAACTGCAGTCAAAACT